ACATTTATTAGGAAGGGCAGACTATACTATTTACTGTTTATTTTTATTAATAATATGAAATATGAATTTAATATTTATGAATTTATTATCGTCATTGATAAWATTATTAAAATTGCTTTGATAAAACATTTATTATATGGAATATTTCCGCTTGGAGCGCCACACATTAATTATTGCAATAGTCATTTCGTATTTCACCTTATCAGTTGWCGATGTGCAACCTGTATATCTTAAATCGTGACCATAGACCTTATCAGCATTTTATGATAAATGTATTCTCTTTGATATTTTAGGTTAGGTTATCACCGCAAACAACGACGTAACTACGACAGTCAGTGATTGAATGATAATAAAATTAAACCTAAAGCCGCTTTTGCAAGTCATACGATACACGAATTACGGTCTACGGATATACGATTGAATTTTTCATAATATTCTTAGCATTGAACAAAGTTTAAAATTCTTTTAACTCTAAAAAAATCTTAGTTTTAACTACTAGTTAAAATTATTCAGGTAAGCAATATGTTTTAATTATTTAATTTGTGTATGCCCTAAAAAAKAATTAGTCACACAATAACAAAGATTTAGCTTTAGCTATCTACCTATGCATCGAACGATGTCAATTATTTCAATTTCTATAATTAATGTTATAGTAAATTCTAATCAAATGATTTGTTTGCTAAATTGGCACTGTGAATGGAATAATAAGTAAATACTAGGTGCCAAAGCTTAAATATTAAAACACTGGGTAAAAAATATAAAATATTTTATTTAAATTGTATCTATTAAATGCTTTTTATACCTGCACTTAATGTTTTTATTTTCAAACAGTTAATATGAAAAAAGTAAAATAAATAATGAAATATGTAAAGCGAATGGTAAACATTCATAACATTTGTCCCTAGTAAATAATATGTCGTGATATATTATCTACCTGATACAAAAACTTAATTTTATGTTACTATTCTTCAATATTATGTATATKAAATATATATTTAATTAAAATTAGTATAAGATCACTATAAATTATATTTGTTTATTTAAAATCTAGGCATATTTTCAAGCTTTAAATTATGTTCTTAACACGTTCAGAATACGATAGAGGAGTAAACACATTCTCTCCTGAAGGCAGACTATTTCAGGTATAAATTTAATTCTAATTTAAACAATTTGGAATATAGTATAATAACTATAACCTTGTTACTCTAAATAATCAATATTGGTCTCATTTTTTAGGTGGAATATGCGATTGAGGCAATAAAATTGGGTTCCACGGCCATTGGCATTTGTACACCTGAAGGAGTAGTATTAGGTGTAGAGAAACGAATTACTTCACCGCTAATGATCACTAGCAAGATTGAAAAGATCTTTGAAGTTGATAAGCACATCGGTATGTAGAAAACTTGAAAACTATACCTCAAGGAATTACTAGTAGATTATTATACTATTATACAAAATATACTGGATAACTTTCAGGTTGCGCAGTTAGTGGATTGATTGCAGACTCCCGTACAATGGTTGAAAGAGCTAGAGCTGAGTCACAAAACCATTGGTTTACATACAACGAACAAATGAGTGTTGAATCTGTTGCACAAGCTGTATCTAATCTAGCTATACAATTCAGTGGAGATTATGATAGCAAAGAACCAGCAATGGTAAAAAATAAATCATCAAAGCATTATTTAAATGAGTATTTGTTATCAGCTATATTAATATAAATTACTCTTTTTTACTTTCAGAGTCGTCCATTTGGTGTCGCAATTATGTTTGCAGGTATTGATAATAATGGTCCACAATTATTTCATTTGGATCCATCAGGTACATATGTCCAGTACAATGCTAAAGCTATTGGATCAGGTAGTGAAGGTGCCCAACAGACATTACAAGAAAAATATCACAAAGTACATACTATTATACATTTTAAAAGAAAAAGACTATATTTACCTAATTAAATTACTATTATTAATTTATTTATCATTTCTATTTTGTAGTCTATGGGATTAAATGAAGCTATTAATGTTATTCTGAACATATTGAAACAAGTTATGGAAGATAAGCTCAGTCCTACTAATATTGAAATAGTAACTGTGACACCTGATAAATTTTACCACATGTTGGATAAAGATGAACTTCAAGAGGTTAGTAATTTATCACTATAAACAAAATA